TACAGTAATCAAAATAGTATGATACTGACATAAAAGGCACTTATATCAATGGAACAGAATAGACAGCCCAAAAAAACCCCACTCTTATAAGGTCAATTAGTTTTTGACAAAGGAGCCAAGAAGAGTCAATGGGGAAAAGACAGTCCCTTCAATAAATGGTCCTGGGAAAACTGGACAGTCGCAAGCAGAAGAATGAAACTGGACCCCCATCTTACACCATACACAAAAATCACTCAAAATGAATCAAAGGTTTGAACATAAAACCTAAACCCATAAAAACTGTGGAAGAAAGCATATTGGGCAAGCTCCTTGACGCTGGTCTTGTCAATGTTTTTTTTGGATTTGACACCAAAAGCAAAGTCACCAAAGCAAAATAAACTAGGGGGACTAAATCAAACTAAAAACCTTCGCAAAGCATAGGAAACCACCAACAAAATGAAAAGGCAACCTATGTAATGTGAAAAAATATTTGAAAATCGTATCTCTGATACAGGGTTAATATCCAAAATATATAAAGAACCCATATAACTCAACAGCAAAAAATAATAATAATTGATTAAAAAATGGGCAGAGGACCTGAACAGACATTTTTCCAAAGAAGATATATTGATGGCCAAGGGGTGTGTGAAAAGGTACTCAACATCACTAATCATCAGGGAAATGCAAATCAAGACCACAATGGGATATCATCTCACACCTGTTAGATTAAAATGGCTATCATCAGAAAGATAAAAGGTAAGTGTTAGCAAGGATGTGGAGAAAAAGAAATCCTTTTGCACTGTTGGTGGGAATAGAAATTGGTGTAGCCACTATGGAAAGCAGTATGGAGACCCCTCAAAAAATTAAAAATAGAACTACCATATGATCCAGCAATTTTACCTCTAGGTATATACCCAAAGGAAATGAAAACAGGATATCCAAGAGATATCAGCACTCCCATGTTCACTGCACCATTATTCACAATAGCCAAGATATGGAAGTAACTTAAGCGTCTATCAATAGATGAATCGATAAAAAAGATGTATATATACACAGTGGAATATTATTCAGCCATGAGAAAGGAGGAAATCCTGCTGTCTGTGATAACATGGATGAACCTTGATGGCCTTATACTAAGTGAAATAAGCCAAATGGTATCACTTATCTGTGCAATTAAGAAAAAAAAGTTCAACTCATAGAAACTGAGAGCAGACAAGTAGTTGCCAGGGGCTGGGGTTGTGGGAAATAGGGAGAGGTTGGTAAAAGGGTGCAAATTTTAGCTATAAGATGAATAAGGTAAAGATCTAATGTAAAACATGGTGACCACTGTTTTATCACCATACTGTACAATTGAAATTCGCTAAGAGAGAAGAACTTAAATGTTCTCATAAAAAGAAAGATTAATATGTGAAGTGTTGGATGTGCTAATTAACTAGATGGGGAAATCCTTTCAAAGTTATACATATATCAAATTATCATAATGCACAATTTAAGTATCTTATAAATTTATATGTTAATTATATAATTATGCCTCAACAAAGTGGAAATAATATTAATAACTAAATCATAAAAGCAGTCAGAGAAAAGATACATTACTTCAATGGAGGAACAATAAAACTAACAACTGACTTTACAACAGAAATAATGGAAACCAGAAGACAAGGAAACAACATCTTTTAAAACCTGAAAATAACTCCAAACGCATGATTCTATGCCAAGCAAATAAATCCTTCAAAAATGAGAAAGAAATAAAAGACATTTTCAGGTGAACCAAAACTGGGAGAATCTGTTCCAGTACACTTCCACCAAGAGGCAGAAAAAAAATACTCCCAGAAAGAAACTCAGAAACTTACGAAGACATGAAGGACTAGAAAAAGCGTCAATATGTGGGTAACTCTAAACAAATAGTGACTTCATATAACATATGTATTATAACACATAATATATAAACGACAATAATTACTTCTTGTTGTCATGAGTTTTAGTTCAACATCTATTTTATGCCCCCAGAATACCAAAAATGATGATAGGAGGGGTTCTAAGGACACTACATTTACTATCACAGCAATGTTTAAAGTACCAACTTACATTAAACTTCAGAAAACCAAGGAAGAATGTTTTGATCTCTGGGAAAACCACTTTAAAAAGAGTAAAAGGAGAAACACCATCAGAAGGGATAAATTGGAAACCTTTTTTAATTGAAAATTTCCAAGCAGGTAAGAAAAAGAAAAAAATGGAAACAAAGAACAGATGGGTCAAGTAGAAAATACATAGTAAGATGACAGGATTAATACCAGTCACAGTAAATAAAAATGGACTATTCCAATTAGAAGACAAAGATTATCAAACTAAACTTAAAAAAAAGAAATATTTGGTGTCTACAAGGCACACTGACAAGACATAACTGATAAAGGTTGAAAGTAAAAAGATAGAAAAAGATATACCATGAAAATACTAACCAAAACAAAGCTGATATAGCTAAATTAATAACAAAGAAAAACACTGTAAGGCAAGAATAATTACTACAGATTAAAAGGTATAATTTATAATGATACAAGGATTAATCTGGACTTCCCTGGTGGCACAGTGGTTAAGAATCCAAATGCCAATGCAGGGGACACGGGTTTGAGCCCCAATCCGGGAAGATCCCATATGCCACAGAGCAAATGAGCCTGTGCGCCACAACTACTGAACCTGCGCTCTAGAGCCCGCGAGCCACAACTACTGAGCCCTCTTGCCACAACTACTGAAGCCTGCGTGCCTAGAGCTCATGCTCCGCAACGAGAGAAGCCACCGCAATGAGAAGCCCGCACACCGTAACAAAGAGTAGCCCCTGCTCATCGCAACTAGAGAAAGCCCGCGCACAGCAACAAAGACCCAATGCATCCAAAAATAAATTAATTAATTAATTAAAAAAATAAAGGAGCCAGATACTTAATATTTTAGGCTTTTAGGCCATATGCCTCTCTCACAACTATTCAACTCTGCTATTGTAGCACAAAAGCAATCATAAACATATGTAAATAGATGAGAGCAGCTGTGTTTCAAGTAAAACTTTATTAACAAAAACAGGCAGAGGAAAAAGAAGGGAAAAAAAAAAAAACAGGCAGAGGTTCAAACTTATCCCAACGCCCATAGTTTGCCAATCCCTTCACTATATTACAATGCATTCCCTCCTAGAGAAGCTCTAGTAGCTTTTCATTAATACCACTAAATTTTACCTCTCTCTCAGTTTTTAAAACATTCTGACCTTAATCTTACTGGTAAATTTTTATTTTAATGCTTTTCTTATTAGGCTCAATCTACTTGAAACAGGTTACTCTTGGGAGAATATGTATATAACCTTTTACATATTTTAACTACAATACCAATTATATCAGAAATTAACCTATAATTGAGATTCAAACCCAAGGAGTTTGGCTTTAAAGTCACACTCATGGCTAGGTCACCTCACACAGTCGTTGTGGGAATTAAAAGAAATAACACGTGCAGAAAAAGTACCTTGTCAACCCTAAATGACTCTCTAAATATTAGCTGCTATTGCATTAGAGCTTTTGATCTGGATGTTTTGGGTGACCATTCTTTTGTATCTGGTCTTATTAGAAAGTAAAATTAAAATATGAGAAAGCATAAAAAAAGAAATTAATCTATAAATAAAACGTTTCTAAAACCATAGTACTAGCATGCACTGAAGTCTCAGTGTGATGATGTCAAACACCTATATTTACAGTTCTCCCTTTTGAACCTTTTTCAGTTATTAGTTTTTAATTGCTCACTCTGTATTTAACAAGGAGAATTACCACAAGGCCCCACTAATATATGCAACTAAGCAACAAGAGTAAATATCTTTAAACAAAATGACCATGTGTATAAAAAAGATCTAAATACGCAGAACTTAAAGACCTTCTCTCAGTTGCTCTCTTACTACAAAATTTAATTGTACGTACCACCACCGAACTTGCTATTTTTAATAAAAAAGATTTAAACAGTATAAAATGATATAAATAGGAAAGAAAACACCCTTCTCCATCAGGGAATCTATTTCTTCTTCCCTCTCTCTTCCCTACCAGTTTCTCACACACACCCTCTCTCTCTGCCTGTCTCTCTCTCCCACACACAAAACACACACACACACACACACACACACACACACACACAGGGCATTTTAAAAACACAATCTAAGTCCAAATGACACATAGGATCAGGCTCAAATACCAGTTCTACACACAAAGCACACAAGATATGATTCAGAAAGCACAAAATCAGGTTCAAAAGGTTCAAATCCCAGCTCTACAACTAAAACCAGTTTAATAATCACTTCCTAGCTTTGCATCTTCAGTAACTATTCAACCTCTATTAGTCTGTTTCCATCTATAAAATGGGGGAAAAATCATACCCACCTCATGTGCCTGTAGTGAGCTTAACGTGAAAATTAAAATCACACGCCCATAGCATAGTGTTGATATACAGTCAAGCCTTAACACTCCTAGGTGATGCTATTACCACCGCCACCACTAACACCACCATTCTTGGCAAATCTTGCTAACATCTATTGTAGTTCCTCTACAAAATGGAAAAAGTAATGCCTCAAACGGTGTATGTAATAACTTTTTAAGGCATCCTGCAAATTCGTCTTGTCCTTTCTCTCAAGAACTGAATGTTCCTTTGAGAACCTTTAAGAATTAAACAAGTCTATTTTTATTCCTGAGAAGAAACAAGAAGCTAACATTTTCACTTTGCTTTTCATTACTGTAGATATTTTTAAACCAATATATTATTAAGAGATCTAATATGTCACTTTTTAAAGAACTCAACACTAATAAATAATCATAAATAGATGTGGTTAAAAGGCAATATCAGAACAGGGTCCACTTTCTCAATTCCAATGTATTTTAAAATGCACCAATTTGAGGGTTTATGTTTGTTGTTTTTGTTTTCAGTTTTCTGCACTTAAAAGCACCACATGTTAATAACTGTATAATATAGTTGCTCTAACATTAGTTGATATAAACATTTCTTACCAAGTTATGCTTTTTTAGTGGAAGAAAGTAATAATAGTGGCAGAAAGAAAACATCAGTGCGTAGCAAGTAAGAAGTTCAGTGTAGAAACACAACTGCAGAAAAAGCCAGTGATTATCTTCACCAACACAATTGTTAATCCTGAAGAAAAAAAGGAAAAAGAAAAAATATTTCAAACTTTAATGTTAATTTTAGGATGGTAAAACTAGAGATAAACGCAAACACACACAAACTTCACATAAAGCACAAACTTCGTATGTGCTTTACTTCACAGAGATAAGCTAAAGTCACTCAAACCTAAAAGCAAAGAGTACATAAGATATGACACAAATATGCCACTTCACATTTGTAAAGCACATTCTACTTTTTAAAGAAGTCCTGTATATGATTCCCCTTCAACTCAACAACAACCCAGTGAGGCAGGGAAGAACAGATGGCAGCCCCCTTGCTTCACTGATACAAAAAAGGAACAAAGGAGTTAGGACAATTGCCAGAGGATGTACAGTTAGGAGAGACAGTGGTCAAGAGAACAAGAACCCTCTTCTGTATACTGCTCTTCCACTGTAGCATTCTAGCTGTGCAGACCAATTTCAATGATGTGAAGTAAAATAACTTAAACCTGCCACTCTGAGAAACTGCTAAGCATTCACAATTTTTCTTACTTTTAAAATCTAACCTTGGTTCCTGAAAATAAACACATATCCAAAAGTATTTATAAATTCTTAGAGCTACATTTCCACCAATACAACAGTGAACCACAACTAGGAAAAAGGATTAATGTCATAATCCCAAAATATTCAAGATTAATGCAAGCTGACTATTTTATTGTTCCAAGGTTATTTATTGTACCTAAATTTTCAAAATATTTTACAATTCCAGCAGAAAACCCTAGTTCAAAACTACAAATTACCTTTCACAAATGTTTTCATTTCAATATAGCATTACACTGCCACTGTTTGAAAAATAAATAAATAGGGTCAAATTCCTAACTTAAATTGTTGTTTTAAAGGGGTGCTGTCTAACTATTTTTTAAAATCAGATATATAACTGAACAGAAAACCTGGAAGAGGCATTTCTTAGATTAAAGAGTGCATGCTTTGTGAACAAGAAAACTTCCTGTGTTTTGTTATCTGCAAGCAGGGCTACCAGAGAAGGGCGCTTCTGTATGCACTCAAAAATACTCTTCAATAGCTGTTGCTTGAAAGATGACTTATACTTGCCCCATTCCTTTCTGTCCCCCCAAAATTTGAGAAATAACTGCTATGATCATGGCCTTCTTCTTAAGCACAGAACTTTAAGAAACACTAAGATAATCTACATGTAAGAGTTCTTTTGGTAGCAAGTTCCTTGGAAGGAGTGATTAGAGCCAAAAATAGAGTGAACCTTGAGGTCATCAGAGAACTGACCTCCAAATCCAAAGCTGTTAAGCAGCTAAGATAATGCAGTTTCTGAAAAAAATCAAAAATTCTCCTTGCTTCTAGTTATACTGTACATTTCCCTCACTCTCTGAATATCTGAGCATTGCTCAATTAGGGAATTCAATCACATAAATCCCTAAATCTACTCAGGCCCCCTGGTCTACCCTCCCTCCCTATGCTCCAGCTCTTTGTGCTTTCACTCTTCTTCCCACCAGTGTTCTGAGAAGGTGACTAATAAAACTATGGAGGCGCAAGGCCTAGGAACAGAGAGCTCACCCCAATCTTAGAATTTTGGTTAAAGAGCACTTTATTTTGTCACCAAGTCAACCTTTATTCCTTGAAAATAAATAAATAAATAAAATCACTAATCTATATAGTACCAAAACAGTTCCTAGTTGACGATTTTTTAAGCTTAAGCTATTGCATTCACTTAAAAGGAGGTATCAATATCCAACCAACTATCCTGAACATTTATTATACTTTTAATCAGAAATATTACTCTAAAAAGTATATAAAATTGAGTTTTTAAGTGTGATTATCCCTTACCCGAATACATGTTTTATATAGCTTTAAAAATTCTACTACTATTGCAACTGTAAACAGAACACTGAGGTTTGTAAAATCACTTGAGAATTAATCTGTTTGAAGTCAAGGCACATTTTTTTCAACACTAACTGTATGTTATATACTAAACTGTCCTGTTGATGGAATTTTCAACTTTTTTACCTAGTAACAAAGTGCTTTTACTTTTTCTTAATCTCAGGAAATTACCTTGTATTTAAACAATCAGTTTATAGTGAAAACCAAATTCTTACTAAAAGCTTGCTAATAATAACTTGTGTTATCAAAAATAAGGGAAACTCTAAATTGATTAGCATTACTAGGCAAAGCTAAACTCTACCCTGAGTCAACCTTAGATAAATGCAATTGTAAATTTAAGAAGATTATTATGTAGCTAACTTTGCACATACGCATGTATGTGTGTACAAACATAAATATATATGTATATAGATATATTTATAAAGTGCTACACCATACCAGTTTAAATATTTATACAGAGACCCCATGCTAGGAAAGCAGAATTAAATACAATATCTTTTTCACAGATTTTTGTGACAGCTTTGAAATGAGATACAATGAAGAACTCTCACAGCATTTGTTTTCAAAAATTCTATTTCTCAACTGAACATTTTCTTTAAATATTACAAGAGAGCCCCCTATTGACCAAAAATGTTGGCAGTTCAGCAGAATCAGCTAACTACCACTTTTTACACATCCAGGCAGCATGTAATGTTAATACCTATTACCAATTCATAACACTGAAAAAGGCTGAAAGTGGGTGAAATGAGGTATAAGGGTATCTGAAATGTGTTACTCTTTAATTAAACAAATTGGAAGGGAAGTACAAACAATGAGATGTATACGGTTTATTACAGTTAGAAACAATAACAGCTACTATATTTATATTTAAGTATTTTCTATGTCAGATACTACACTGAATGCTTTACATACACTGCCTCATTTAATAAAACCACCTTAGCTCTTTTGTGTATTTGGGTGCATGTTAATTCTTAGTTTTCTGCTCAAATATCTCCTTGTGAGAAAACATAGGATCTCTGGAAAAAATGACTTTGGGAGCTGACAGAACCATATGATCAAATAAAGGGATCTTCATTAAAAAGGTTTTCTTAAACTGTATAACTCTAATCTCACCTTTGTTTAAATCTGCTAAGCACTAAGATTTATATTTTACTACCTTTTTTTTCCAAAAAGTGAATTACTTATTTCTTACCATGGACAGTGATGATCCATTCTCCTAACACAGTGGCCGCAGCGGCTGCAGTGATGGGAACGCTTTGGTCTCATCAAATTACACTTGTTACACAATTCCCAGAACTCCCTTTCTAGAGAAGGAAATTAAAATCCATTTAATAAAGGCACATGAATAATGTTGAAATTTAGCCACAAGTGTTTAGAAGAGTTTATAGGAATTCTTTGATATATATGTCTAAGTGTCCAGTGAAAATGTTTGCCAAAAATGTTGCTGCTCTATTCTATGCATGTTTTATTTTGTACGTTTCTAATTTTAAACGCTATAAAAATAAGACACTATTAATAGTTAAACTAAGAGATAGAAAACAACATATTTGAGTTTAAGCATATCGCTGTAAGTAAAATTTAATGACAAAACCCCGAAGTACAACCAAACTATTACATTAAAACAGTTATATTTAAACAAATTAATTTCTAGAAATTTATTATCTAAAGGCTCTAAAGAAGAAATAATGCTGAGTATTGGTTTCATAGATTGATAAGTCAAAATCAATCGTTATGATATTGTAAGAAAAACAGAGATGGCATCCCCCCAAACTCCCCACACGAAACCATTTTTTAAAGTATTAATGGACTCATTTGGGAATGTTTATGAGAGAGGGTTGGAAAAAGATTTCAGATGGGTTTAAGAGGTCCTAGAATAGTTTCAGAAGTGAAGAAGATTACAAGAAGATTATTACTTAATGGAAATAAAGGAGTTCTTTACAAAATTCTAGCCTACCACCAAGTAGCAATTTCCTCTAGTCTGTTGTGAAAGAGCACACAATTAAGCTTTGTGCTAAAAACATGAAGTTTACAGGAATAAAGGGAAAAGTCATTTGTTTTCATTAAGAACTGCTCTAATTAGATCCATAAAAACTCTATGGGACAGTCATCTACCAAGATAAGACAATTGTTATATAGAACATATCATTTTAATATTTCTTGAAATGGAATTTTACTTTTATAAAAATTCTTAAACTTTATATCACTTATGGAAAACTATATCCTAACCTCACTAAAAGTATGGGCATAGGAAAATTAACCTAACTCCAATACTCAGAGTGAGCATTAGTATATGCAAAGTGTGACCCAGCACACAGTAGGCAGTAACTAAATCCTTGCTAAAGCATGAAAAGTTTAAAAAATTTTTAAAAGAAAGATTCTAAATATAAGTAATAGAATTGTGGGTAGTTTTCAATTTTCTAAAAAGATACCCTATTTTAATTCCATTATTTCTAGTTTAATGGCCAGAAGTAAAATTAATATACTGGAATTTTATAGTAAAATGTTGGAAAAACATTCTGCTACAAATGTCTCTGAAGAAATCAATAAAGTATGAATAAAAGCTATATCAAATCAACTGTTCATTCCAATAATATGAAAGTTGAGAAATTATCTTTTACATTTAAAATATTTCACTTTAAAATAAAATTCTCTTCCATTTCTTACTTACAATTCTTATTTTAATGAAAACATATTACATGAGAGAGCAACAATATTAAAGCTTAATTTAGGTACAATTAAACTACGATAATTTAACTGTTAGTGAAACAGAAATATTTCAGACGTAGCATAATACAAGGTCACAAGCATGTCACTTTTTTTTTCCCCCTAGATGTTTAGTGGATGTTAGATGCTCCCAAATATCCCAATGTTAAAACTTTGAATTCACATACTACAAGGAACATGGTCAGGAAGGAGACTCTCTTCGATGAGCCGATTTTTATTAAAAGACAACATGAAAACTTTACGTTCTTAAACCAGCCCCTTAAAAAATAAATATGGGGTATTCACTATTGGCAATTTCAGCACATAATACCGCAAAGAATAAATTATTTATTTCATACTTAAAATGCTGTATCCTCAGAAAAGAGCGTTTGGCTAGAGTCAGAGAAAGACTAATTCATTCCGTAGTGTAGACTATGGTTGGCAAACTACATTCCACAGGGAAATCCAGGCCACCACCTGTTTTTGTGTGACCCATGAGGTAAGAATGTTTTTTACAAATTTAAATGATTGAAAATGATAATGATCATAACAATAATAATTTGTGGCATATAAAAATCTTGGAATTTAAATTTCAATGTCTATAAATAAAGCTTTATTTGAACACAGCTATGCCCATTAATTTACATATTTCTATGGCTGCTTTTGGGTTACAATGACAGAGCTGAGGACTTGTGACAGAGACCATATGGTCCATAAAACTAAAAATACTTGTTATCTGGCCCTTAACAGTACAAAAGAATGTGCTGACCTATGGTCTGGAACATAACTTTGTTCAAAGAAAGGGTTTGAGCCATTTAAGGCTCAATTTAAGATGTAAGAATCTAAAATGAAAAATACGAATGAAAATGCACATTTTCACACACAAGTACACACACACATTTATGTTTTTAGAAAAGAAAAAAAATCACTATTTTTAAAATCCAGAAATTAAAGTATCATCTATGTTTTTGCTTTGCAGAGCAAGAAAAAAAGCCATCCATCTTAACCTACCACCCTATGTATCTATAAACCATTTCTTAGTCTTCTCCATTTTTTCTTCTTCAGGGTTTATTCATGCCCAAATAGGATCTTGGTGACTGATACATTCTGGTGTCTGATGGTCACCTACAAGACTTTTGTACTACCCATCTAACAAAATAAAAGCCTATGGGAGACAGAATCCAACTCCTAATTTATGGTAGCTATAGAAGATAAAAAATTAACAGATACATTTTTTAAAGGAAAGAAAAATCAAAACAGAAAACAGAAAAAAGGTAAACTCTATAAGTTATAGATGCTCTTTAATGTAAGGTAAACAGCATCTCATTGTTTAACAGGGAACCTTATTAATGCTGTAAATGTATGAATGACTATAAAGCAAGATTTGGTTTGATTTATTCCTCAAAAAGGAAGGAATCACCTTCTATTTGAGTCTTTTAAAAGACTCACATATTAGGGGGCCTTTTCTCAATTACTATATCTCAAATCACAAAGTAATGTTTTGGGGAGAAAAATATAATTTGAAACTACAAAAATCAATACAAGGTTTGGGTTTTAACAGAGGTTTTCTGACAGAATCGGTTGCCAGTGTAGCTCTGTAACAATACCAAGAGACTTTGGAAACATTAAAATGTGATCAATGAACGCATGTTTTTTTGGTTGGGCAAATGGGAACTCTTCACTGAAGAAAAACAGGCCAAATGTCAATGAGACCAGATATAATGCAGATATCCAAATAGTTGGCAAGACGCCATGGTGTCCTCCATCACTGGAGTCTATAAGCTAAAGGTAACACAGCAGTTTCAGGTGGATTCAATCTGACCCACAGGTATAATCCGTTTGGTATTTACTTTAAAACAATGCTTTAAAAATTTTTAATTAGTTGCCAATATTTTTAAAAATCATGAAATGTCTCATAAAAATTGAGATTCTATATTTTCTCTTCAAAAATTGCAGTATCTAATAATACCAGGCCTGTATGACTATTTCACTGTAGCTGAATAGTGCCACTCCCTTTATATAAGATATGAGATTGTCAAAGTAAAATAGTTCCTCCCTGGCCCCTTTCACTGATTTGCAGTATCTGACAGATGTAGGCATTTGAATGTTTGACCACAGCAAACTAAAGATTTCATCAGAAATGAGTCCTGAGTTAGGAAAAGCCTGCTTCTTTGATTTTCTGATAATATTGGGTTTTAGAGTTGAAGTAGAAAATACATGTATCAGGGCTTCCCTGGTGGTGTAGTGGTTGCGAGTCCGCCTGCCGATGCAGGGGACGCGGGTTCGTGCCCCGGTCCGGGAAGATCCCACATGCCGCGGAGCGGCTGGGCCCATGAGCCGTGGCCGCTGAGCCTGCGCATCCGGTGCCTGTGCTCCGCAACGGAAAAAAAAAAAAAAAAAAAAAGAAAAAGAAAATACATGTATCAATATTTTAGAGAGCCTTTGGTTTAGGCTAGTACAGAAGAGGGATTCTATACAAATTACAGAGTGCCATCCTCCCTGACCAAACACTGGTACGCGCGTGCGCACACACACAATAACCGCTAAAATGATAGTGATACTGCTTCTATAAATTAATAAAAACTAAATATTCAAGATAATTTTCAGAAACTTCTACATAAACATCAGTGCCATATCATCATTCCCACTTAATTGTTAAACTTGCAAGACCAAGTAAGCCCCAAATGATGGATCTCAGAAAACAATCAGAAACTCAAGGGAGGCTATATAAGTGACTTGCCAGTTTATCTAATTTTGAAAAGAATTAGTACATTGGTTCCCAAACTTTGTGACACACTAGAATCACCTTGGATCTTTCAAAAATACGGATACCTGGCTCTCACCCCCAGATATTCTGATTTAATTAATATGGGATGTGATCTGGACATTGAGATTTTTTAAAGCTCCCCACGCGGTTCTAATGTACAGCAAGTTCGGAAACTACTATAAAAAGTACAGAGTTCTCAAAGCTTACATAGCAAATGATGGAAAAGTGAAACTTGGGAAAGAGGGTAAAGGAGGTTTACTATATCTGGCATGTAATAAAACAAGCAATACATTTGTAATTTTTTTGTGTTGCCTGAATGGTTACTATGCAATAAAGCGACCAAAAATTACCTTCATCGACAGTAGAATAAAAGGCTTTCAAAATTTTCACTGAATTGGTCGAACTTGAAGAAATATAGGCAATAGTATTACAATACTACAAATATTTAAGCAATATTATATCAATAATATCATGAGGTAAGTGGCACCATCAAAAAATTCCTTTACTAAATAAAAATATAATTTCTCAGTAATTATATATCATTCAACAAATATTTACCTAGCAACTATTACTAAGTGACAGAGACTATTTAGGCACTAAGGATACAGTACTGAACAAATGAAGAAAACAAAACAAAGAATCTACACCCTCACAGAGGTTATATAGATTTAGACCGGGAGGAGGGAGAGACAAATAAATAAACAAGTAAACTGAAAAGGAGAGCCAGAGAGTGGGGGATATGAGGAGTCAGCTGAGATTTGTGGTTTTAAATCCAGAAGTCTGGAAAGGAAACAACTGAGGAAAGACTTGAAAGTGGCGTTACATGACATATATAATTAATATACTAAAGGCAGTCAAATACATTAATAAAGATGATAATTCTGGCATTGTAAAACTGATAAATCTGAAAGGTACCATACCTCCATGTGGGATCTTTGGGTTCTCAGGGAGTCTTCCTGGATCAGTTATTGAGGCCCTCACTAAGGCAACCAGACAAAATATGGCAATGCCATAGAATACTTGGAAATAAACAAACAAATAAGTCAATACATAAGATTAGTATTTCCCCTTCAAAACATTTTTCAACAAGCATATCTAAAGGATAAATGTATATTTTAATTAATACCATCAGGATAAATAATTTTCAAAAATAAGATGGAAAGATGATTAATTCATTTCATTCATCAAATAATACTGCCAAGAGGATTATCTAAAATGTAGTCATTTTAAATAGTTATTTTGTATAGTAATAACTGATAAACTTGTTATAAACCAGATTCTTTATTAACAGAAGTTCCCTACTAATATTGGTATAAATGAATCCCTTTTAATTATTACATGTACTATATTTGACAGAATCAAAGCAGCATTTTTAAACCTATTCTACAATTAAACTTTTTCATTAACTCTAAGTGGCTACTAGCTTCAAAATTACACTGGGTTAGTGATGTTCAATTGCTCTTTTCAATAGATCTTAAGATAGTTAATTTGAAAATAAAGAATCTAGAAATTTTTGTGTTTTAAAATGAATAACTAGAAAAAAATAACAGTAAAGGAAAATATATTCATTCATCATAATTCTACCTTTTAGATGAAAAAGAAATAGGCATTTTGTTGGGGGGATAAAGGCACTGCACCTGTAATAGGAAACTTAGTTCAAGTGCTAACTCCATGACTGACTGCATGGTATTGGTCAGTTTTATCATTTGTAAAACAGATTATACTTCCCACAGCTCTTATGAGATCAAAATGACATAATGTACATGAAAACTATAAATGCCATGTACATGTAAAACATATCACTTCAATCTTATTCTTTTAATCATAAGCAAACCATCACCATTAAACTATAGGAGAAAATAATTATCCAGAAGTTCAAAGTATTACCATAATCAAAATCATAATCAATAATTTTTATATCCTGAAACTTTTTCTCAATAATGTGTATCATCATCATTCTTAAAACTCCTTCCACATTTGCAGTAAGTATATAACAGAAACATTAAAAATACACACAGACCTACATAAATAGCACTATTGTGCCAGTCTTTTATTAAACAAAATGGTCTTTATATATTTTGTAGAGTTAGGTATGAAGATATCACATTTATCTAACCCTGCAAAATATATAAAGGCCATTCTTTTTAAAAATGTCCATAATTTAGTAAATAACTTCATATTAATAGCACTGAATAATATTAAAAGGAAGGTTATTATAGTGGTATTTTACTCTAAAAACATTCACAATGAGAAAAATCTTTAATTATCCAAAGAAATAAATAAAGATCTAGAAACTTACTTATTATTAATATGCCTGGAATATGTCCTTCTTCATAGTGAGGAAAGAGGACAATTTTGGGAATTAAAACAAAGTTGTATAACCAGACAAAGACAATCAAACCCATGCAGCACCAACCATGTGGGTCAACAACAAAGTGAATCCGGAGACCCATTTTGCAGTCCTATGACTGCCTGCCAACCCACAAGGAAAGATCAACCTAAGGAAAGGGAAAAAGAAAAAATTACTTATATAGGAAAAATTATTTGAATAAAACAAAACTACCTTTTTGGCAACTATAAAATGACACTTAAATTTTCTTTCTATGCATATTTTTGACAAAATAGAACACTTTGGAAAACAAAGGGAAGTTTCAGCCTATTAAAATTTCACCATAAGCTTCAAATAATTTAATTTCAATTTTCATATGAATTGCAATCATAGAGTATAAACTGGCATTACCTTCTGAAGGTAAACACAAGTCTGCCCTTAACTCAGCAATTCCATGTGTAAATTCAAGAGAAATGAGTGCACATATTCACCAAAAGATATGATTAAAACTACAAAAAGGTTTTGTACATAAGACTAACTGATGGTAATACAAGTCAAAAGAGTGCTCATCTTGTGGTGGGAGGGGTGTTTATTAATTGGGAAGGGAAATGGGGGAAACTCTGAGGAGCTAGAAATGTTCTAGATGTTGACCTGTTGCCTTACAGATATCTACATATGTAAAAACTCACTGAGCTATATACACTTAAGATTTGTTCAACTTAATTTAATTTTAAACCACAACAAAATGCTTAAAAATCATTTTGAAAAATTATAATAAAAAGTGAAAAGTAATTACAAATTGCCAAAAATACTTAAATTCATGGAATGAAGCCCAACTAATATTACTATCAATTCGAGAAGACTCCTGCTTAAATGGGGCTTTTTTCAGTTCAGCGTTAACAAAATGCTAATAGGCCTCACAATGAGAGGCTTAAAGATACTTCTACATATGGTATTAAAAAAGTGACCTAAAATATATCCTTACTTTAGTAGCTATAATTTATAAACCTTAAATAATAAATTACTATATGAGGTCTAGGGGGCAACTTTTTACATAAAATACAATGGAGTAATACAATAATACACTAGGACAATGTTTCTCAAACCTATAAGCAAACTGGAATCAGTTGAGGAGCTTTTTAAAAATACTTATTCCCAGGCCTCATTCCAGATGTACTGAATCATAATTCTTTACAGAGTAATGCTCAAAAACCTATAAAATGTTCTAAAATGCTCCCCAGGTGTCTCGATACAGCTGACTGGTATCCAGGAACCACGGATCCAGGAGCTTCACTAAGACTTCAACGTACAGCAATGAGCTGAACTCCGTTCAACAAATATTCATTGAGCCTCCACTATATACTAGTCACTTGCTAGACACTGTAGATACAATGATGAATAAGACATGGTCTTTGCTTAAAGGAACTAACAGTCTAATTGGGAAAAGAGCCATGAAATGGGTTTAATATAATACATTCCAGGGATGTGGACAAGATCTTACTATAGGCACAGAAAGATGGGGACTGATTAAATCAGGGCAAGATCCCCTGCAGGGGAGTGAGCTGAGTTCAATCTTAAAAGAGTAAAAGTTATCCAAGCAAAGAAAAGTGACAACAATACTGCAAACAGAGGAAGAGCAGGAGGTAGACAAGAGTAAAAATTGTAGGAGGTATTACAAACTGCCATGATAAATCACAAACCTTTCAGTGGAGAGCAAGTGGTAAGAAATAAAGGGCTATATCACGATGGACATAAAGATGCCATTCTTAGGCACTGGAAAGCTACTAAAGCAGGCGGGTAACATAATGAGGTTTATATTTTAAATAAAGGATTAAAGCTCTGGTGTGGAGGATGAAATTAAAGACAAAGATCATTTAGGCTAAGAGAAGGCAAAAGCCAAAATTAGTTTTGGAGAGATCAACTGAAGAAACAGAATCAAACCAGTAAGCTTCTGGAGGATGACTCCCAGATTTCCAGCTTATATCCCAGCCTACTTCATTCTCAGGATAATTTATCATCAGTTGAAGAGCCTCAGGGTACTACCCTTTAGAGACCTTGCCAATGTTCTTTAAAGTTACAAATATACCAGGACAAAGAAAAAAAGATTAAGGATTAATTTTAAAAGAATACCCCTATCCTGTTATCCCTAGAACCTGGAAACACTGGGACAGCAGAAAAAAAGACAAGAACTCAAACTCACCACCCAACTCTTTAAATCAGATATGGTCTCAGTTAGCACTTATGTATGAATTTTAAAATAGGAATAATGCCTAGGCCTTTAAAAAAGTAAAAGCTGAACTTCATTACCTTTTAATTTAAAAATTAAAAGACCTATCAGTATCATTAAAGTGAGGAAAGTCACAGAGGATTTAATTTTCTAGGGATGATTATTTTAAAAGCTAAATGAACTCAAATACAAATGACAAGCTATCAACATACCTAAAAAGAGAAACATTAAAAAGAATGTTTATTTTTATAGTCTTGCCAACCATCAAGTGCTAAGAATGACAGAAGGCTCTGTCTCTCAACATGTTCAATATCATTAACTTCATGTACTTTCTTTCTTTTAATGTTTCAGTTCCATTCACGACTAAAAAAACAGACAATGAATTCTAGTAACTATACAGAACAATTTCATTACTTATTTCTAAATGTATTAGTATTAGAAACAGAAAAGCATACAAGCCAGCAAAACAAGTAGCAAAATTATCAAACACTCATTTGTTTTTTTAAACTCTATTTTTATTCTCCTCTACCAGAGAATAACAAATTTTTCTTATCACTGCAAGAGTTCCTCACAACAGAAACTATAAATGAAAAGTATAGTTAAAAATGTGTCTGTTTTTCCTGGATATAAACATACACAGACAACAAGCTCTAAAAGAACAAGCATCCCCAAGGAAAAGTGTGCTAAGGAGAGAAAAATAAAACAATGAACAAACAAGATGTTGAATACTTTTTTAAATACCTGAGTAGTGAAAATTAATCCACATAATTAGAGCCACATAATCCTTAACAACTAGATTGTAGAGAAGAAAACAGTAGCCTTCCAAGAGCTCCAAATCAGATTACAACCAGAAACGTGTAACTGGTAAAGTTGCAGGATCACTCCACTCAGTTATTATCTACCAGGCGTGGCTCACGGCTGAACAGAAACTATTACACATCCTGAGCAACAACCAAACTGAACACAATGCTGCTACTCAGTCTTAAGGGTGGCATCTGGAAATACTTTCATCAGCTAGAGAATTCAACATATTAATCTGTATATTAAATGGTGAGCTCATAACTCTTTGATGTAACTAGTGGACACACTGGTATTTCAACATTTTTGAATATTGATATCTGGTAACTATACTTGAGTGCTCTCACTTCATTAATGATGTAAATTACTACAGCACGACTTTTTTTTTTTTTAAAGAAATTATAACTCAACTCTAATAAACTAGACTAGTAAATATTCACAATGTTCAAACTACTCTGGTAGGAAACCACCTTTCCCTTTTTTGCCTTTTCAGGCAACAAAATTTCACCACATATTTTCCTCAGGAAGAATACTGAAGTCACTATGAAAAGAAAGTGACAGAAAACTATTATATGACAGAAAACTATAACACCAGAATGCAGATTTTAAAAAATGATAAAAGTGAGCCAAAATAATTTACAAGAAATGGAGCCAAATGAATATCTCTAAACTTGCAGTTTTATATGACTCGCCACCTCAGCCAGTGGTCTTTTTATTGTTCCATGAATATGAAAAATATATTCCCTCTCTCACTCCTTCTGTCCAAAATGTCTCTACCATTTTGTCCACTCTATTTAAATTCAACTCACACTTCAAGGTCAATTTGAATCTCACTCGCCATATGAAATTTTTCCTGGCACCTTAGTTCACAGTGATTTCTCCTTCTCTTCAAAATTCCAAATAAAAAGCAAAACTAGTAGAAGAATATAGCAAGTGGTTTTATAATCTTAGAATGAGGAAGATCTTCAGCAAGACCCACAAGCCACCTTTGACCACATAAAGATTAAAATTTCTGAAGTTCAAAACACACCAGAAACAAAATTAAAAGATAAAGCATCCCTGGAAAAAAAGAATATACCATATGACTAGTAAGAGTCATACAAAGTAAATACACAGAGAGGCAATTCACAAAAGAAAAAAAAATCCAGTGGTTAATCATTACTGATTAGGAAAATGTGAAATCACTAGGTATATTATTTACCCTTCGTACTGACAAAATTCTAGAAAGACAGGTGACACCCAATGTTGAAAGGGCACAGAGAAAAGGACAATCTCATCCATTGCTGCTATGCGTGTAAACTGATTGGGGAGAGGGGGAAGGAAGTATACTGATGTCTGCAATTTACTTTCAAATGGATCCCCTCAAAAAATGGACTGATGTGTGGACAGAGAGATGGATGAGTATGTGATGTAGTTCAGTAAAATATTAATTGTAAAATCTAGGTGATGGGTATTCAGATGTACGTTATACAACATGATTCTTTTTTTGTTAGAAAAAAAATATGTATAAGTAATTTCTGTATGGGTGGAAGAAAACACATCTACCAGACTGTTAACAGTGGTTACCACTGGGCTGAGGAAGGAAAGAGTAGTGAGAAGGAATGCTGTCACATTTTATATATATATATTTATGTGTTCATGTAAGTTTATTAATAGACATATATACTTCTAAATTCTTCTCGACCAAGTGAAAAATAAAGATAGCCAATGAGGTGTGATTTGACATTACAACCTCACAAACAAAATTTTTACTTTTAGCGTCTCTTTATCACTATGTATTATCCTTATATGAAATGCTTTTAGAATTAATATCTTTAAAAATGCAGCACAGGGGGCTTCCCTGGTGGCGCAGTGGTTGAGAGTCCGCCTGCCTTTGCAGGGGACACGGGTTTGTGCCCCGGTCCGGGAAGATCCCACATGCCGTGGACCAGCTGGGCCCGTGAGCCATGGCTGCTGAGCCTGCGCATCCGGAGGCTGTGCTCCGCAACAGGAGAGGCCACAACAGTGAGAGGCCCGCGTACCGCAAAGAAAAAAAAAAAAATGCAGCACAGAAGCATCAGCTGTAAAGCCATATAAAACTTATAATTCAGGAAGATGTT